ATCCTCCCACACCGCGTCCGCAGCCTCGGCTTCGGCATCGGCGTCACAGGATACTCGCTGGCCTCCTTCCTCGTCTCGATGACGTTCGAACGCGTGCGCGGGGCGTGGGGCTCCCACGGCCTCTTCTGGTCCTACTCGGCCGGATGCGTCGTCTACGCCCTCCACGTCCTCCTGGCCGTCCCGGAGACGCGCGGACGCTCGCTGGCCGAGATCGAGGACGCCTGGGGACGCCGCTCGAGCGCCCGGACGCGAGGCGCGTGCGAGGCGGCGCCCGCGTGAGAGGCCGCCACGGGCGCCGCGCCACCGCCCTTCCTCCTCCTTCCGTCGCCTTCACCCGCTGGCCATCGCTCCCTTGCCTCCTTTACTCTGTACAACACTCTTACCCAAAGATATGATAACGATGATAATAATTAATAATAATCGCTTTAAATCAGTCCTACACCTGATATCCACAACTTGCAAGCCCAGTCGAGTCACACACCTTCGTGAGCAGCGCTTTTATTCGCCCCAGCGCCTCCCGCCTCAGGGAAAGGAAAAACAAGGTCGGGCAACTCAAAAGGAAACCTCCCATTCGTAGATTTTCTTTTAATCTCTAATGAAACTTATGATCTACGTTTACATGTATTTGATATAAAAAAAATATTTCTTTTGTTTTGCACCACTTTGTTGTTATTATTACTATTATTATCGTCATTATCATTACTATCATTGTATTTTTTTTGTTATGATTATGATTGTCATTAGCATTATTATTATTATTATTATTATTATTATTATTATTACTATTATGATTACTATTATTATTACTATTATTATTGCTATTATCATTGCTATTATTACTACTATTATTATTACTATTATCATTATTATTATTATTACTATTGCTATTACTAGTACTATTATTATCATTATTATTATAATTGATATTATTATTATTATTATTATCATCATTATCATTATTATCATTATTATTATCTTTATTATTACCACCATTATCATTATTATTATCAGCATTATTATCATTTATTATTATTATCACCATTATCATTACTATTATTATCACCATTATAATTATTATTGTTTATTATTATTATTGTTACTACTTTTTTATCAAAAGAGCCTTAACGAATCATAATTCTCCAGTCATATATTTAAAAAAACAATGATTTAAGTGTTATCTTATATATATTGTCTGAGGTTTCCCGCTATTTTCTATATCAGTATTTCATATGTAAATATTTCCAATTATCATGAGCTAACCTCTTGTTCTTTTGTTTATATCCTCTGGGTAATAGATTGCGTCAAGGGGAAAATAGAAATTCAATATTTTCTTCAATATATATTTTATCATATATATGCACACCACAAATCATAATTGCACATCAAAAAGAAATAGAAAAGATCCAGTAAGCACTAATCCAGCCCGGGGTCAAGCGGCCCGGGGTCACGCGGCCCAGGGTACTGTGGACCGGGATCTTCTAGCCCAGGGTAAACAGCCCAGGGTACGTATCCAGAGTATCCAGAGTAAGCAGCTAGAGTGTTATGCAGCCAGAATATGTGATGTAGCCAGAGGATACAGGCACGGCTTGCAGACAGGTAATGCGGCCTGGGATTTTCCACCTTATATCAAATTTAAGAAGGCTGAAACAAAAACGCATTTGAAATAAATAATAAAATCACTTGTAGTGTTACTAAAGCACTTCAGTTTCATGTTACGTCACTTCATTTTCACTCACAATTTTCACAAATAAACATATACATAGTATAGAAGCCTGCTTACAATGTTTATCGGTGTGGAGTTCGGAGCAAAGTGGCTGATCATATAACGGCGACCACCGACCATGGCTTTCTTCATGTTCGAAGCAAGGGGAATGGGTCGTCCGGGTAAACCAAATGGTTCGCTCACGCACACAAGCATGCACGCACTCCCATACTTCGCACACAAGACAAAGTGCTAAGGGAAACCATCACCAAACCCTGTACATATATGCATGCACAGATACATACATGTTTAACACCCACATACATATATATATATATTCATACATACATGTGTGTATTAGGTATTAGTATGGTGTTACGATCTAGATTGTAAAAAAAAATATATTAGTGATGACAAAGGGTGTGTATTGCTTAATTGAGCGATCACTGTGATATTAATTTTTTGTTTTACTTTTGAGAAAATATTTGGTAAACATATCTTATAAAAGACGTCTATGTTGCTCTTGCCAGTGATATTTTATCATTATTATTATTCTGTATTCATTATTAGAAACATTTTCTAGTCATGCCATTGAAAATTAATATGTTTCATTCTCAGATATATGTAAAGATCTTTAATGACAATGAATAGCATAATGACAGTATTGAGGATTTTATTGTATCAGAGATCAGGTGAACAGATAAATTTCTACGTTAATACAGAAAAAAATATATGGAAAATACAATGTACATTGCAGGGAAAAAAACAGCAACAAAAAATAAAATGTATTGTGAATCC